GTTTGAAATGTCATTCTCATTGCCATACAAAAGTATTATTTAAAATGTTGGTATTTATACAACTTAATTGTAAAGTAATAATTGTCATGCTGCTTTTAATTTACGCTGGTTTAAAAAAAAAGAAAAAGTGTAATTGTGTCTGGTAAAAAATTGTAATGTTAAAAAAATTTATTACAATCAGCATAAATTAAAAGCAGTAAACATTCTTTTTCTTATCATTTTGGGTTGGAGTATTACACTGTTTTGGGCTGTTTTCCTTTATGTTATTTCTTCTTTTTATTGTTTTAGTATCTTGAATCTGTTCGACCTCTTCTGGATGATGAGCAATATAAACAGATGGAGATTGTTGCTAATGACTTTAAAAAGGATCCTGCACCCAAATTCCAAAAACACCTCAAACTCAAATCCTGGTGGTCCACAAATTATGTAAGCAAACAAAGCCAGAGATCTTCCACATGAGTGGACTATAAATCAGTGGAAATCCTCTTATAATTACTGGCAAACTAACAGGTATGTCATTGCGTGTGTTAACAGGTGAGTGACTGGTGGGAGGAGTATATCTACCTGAGAGGACGGGACCCCATCATGGTCAACAGCAACTTCTACACCATGGTGAGCAGACATCTTCATGTAGCATATCTCTTACAGTGTAACAACAAGTCTTTAATCAGACCTATCAGGCATCGATAATGTTGAAAAAAAATATTTTATTTTTAAAAGTCAGTTATGTTTTATTTAAATCAAGGTTGTGACACAGGTGGTTTTGGGGTTAGATTGGCATTTAAAATTTGTATTATTTTATAAGAGAAAAATACTGTACATTTTGAATCATTATAAGTTTGCTAAAAGTTCATTTTGTCAATTTTAAGTAGTACACTAGCATAAAATGGAATAAAAGCCAACAAAGACTAACTATGGAAAAAAGCAGTTGACCTTCATACACATTTAAGTGTTTTTTTTAATAGCTATTGCTTTTTAATATCCTTATTTATTAAAACTGTCTGTTTCCATTACTCTCTTTCCATCTGCCAGGATTTGCTCTATGTGATCCCTACACACAGACAGGCTGCACGAGCAGGAAATGTAGTTCATGCCATGCTGCAGTATCGGCGTAAGCTGGAGCGAGGAGAACTCACCCCGGTACTGACATATAAACACAAAATAGTTTTTTCCATCCACAACAATGAATTGCCATAAATATAGGAAAGTTTCCCATCATGCCCTCTGTTCTCTCTTGTCAGCTGAGAGCTCTTGGGATTGTCCCCATGTGCTCTTTTCAGTATGAGAGGATGTTCAACACCACCCGTATTCCTGGCATTGAGACTGGTAATGACATTTTTCATATATTTTCAGCTACACATACTACTTAACAGTAGGCCTACAGATTCATAGATGCTTATTTTAAACCATGACATGATGGTTTCTCATTTGTTCACTCTCAGATTTTGTGCAGCATCTGAAGGACAGGAAGCACTTAGTTGTGTACCATCGAGGCCGTTTCTTTAAGGTGTGGCTATACTATGGTGGTCGCCACCTTTGGCCCTCAGAGCTTGAGTTGCAGTTTCAGCGTATCCTGGATGACAAGTCTGAACCTCAACCAGGAGAGATCAAGCTGCCTTCACTGACTGCCGGGAACAGGTGCAGATGACCTCGCAATAGTCCTGCGACTGTGTACTAGACCAGAGGTTTTCAAAATGAGGTCCAGGAGGCTTCAAGACGGTGTTCAAACAGTTTGAACAGTATGACTTTCTTCTGTGGAACCCATAAGAAGATATTTTGAAGAATGTTGGAAACCAAAACATTTTATTGGAAATTCATTCATTTCAATGGAACTGAAACTGTTTGTTTACTAAAATTCTTCAAAATATCTTGTTTTATGTTCTACAAAAGAAAGTAGTACATGTTTGAAACAAACCACGGGTGAATAAATGCTGAATGAAATCTTCCCCTTTAACACATAATATCCAGGGTTCCCTGGGCCAGGGCCCGTTTAAAGTACTTCACTGAGGGCATCAACCAGGCGTCTCTGGAGGCCATTGAAACAGCTGCATTTTTTCTGACCCTGGACGATGAAGCACATGGATACGATCCAGAGAACATACGGTCTCTAGACCTCTATGCCAAATCACTACTGCATGGAAAGTGCTATGACAGGTAGGAACCAGTGTTATTTCAGTATTATTTTCATAGTATTTATTAATATTTTATAAATAGAATTGAATTTGCTTTCATTTTTATGTTTTCCGTTTTTATTTTTAATTTAAGTTAAAGTTTTAGTAATTTTCTTATTTTCTTATTAGTTTTTGTAATTTTTTATATTTATATTTAGCTTTATTTTCTATGAGATTTAGTAATGTAAGCGCTTTAGTACTAGGTTTTTTTTCCCTCTAATATTTATTTTATTTTAGCTTTATTTCATTCATGAAAATTTTTTTTCAATATACTATAGTTTACATTTTTGTTAATGACAACAACGCTGCAAGTAACACTTTTAAGTCTCATTAACTGATAATTATTTTTGGTGAGCATGACCAGTTGCACATCTACACACTGAAACATCTTCTCTCGCCTGTCAGGTGGTTTGATAAATCCTTCACTTTGATTGTCTACAAGAATGGTAAAATTGGTGTCAACACTGAGCATTCATGGGCTGACTCCCCTATCATAGGACATATGTGGGAGGTAAACAATCAATAATAATAACTGCAAATACCTTTATTTTAAATGACACTATTGGGCTGTAAGAATTAACATGCATTTTAACTTTCTGTTTAGTATGTTTTAGCCACAGACTGTTTCCACCTAGGATATACTGCGGAGGGACATTGCAAAGGAGATATCAACAAAAGCCTGGCAACCCCTACCAGGCTACAGTGGGACATCCCAAAAGCGGTATTAATTAACCCTAACGTCCTACATCTAATTTGACATGGCTTTACATTAAAATAATTGAACTAATTCTAATGGGTTTTATGTCCTGGCATACATCCTAATAACTGTAAGATCATTTCTACACTGATAATTGATTAAGGTTCCTTATGTCTTTCTCAGTGCCAGGAGATTATTGAAGGTTCTTACCTGATTGCAAAGGGAATTGCCAATGATGTGGATTTCCATGGCTGCTTGTTTAACGAGTTTGGGAAGGGCCTGATAAAGAAATGCAGAACAAGTCCGGATGCTTTTATCCAGCTGGCACTGCAGCTAGCTCATTACAGGGTACAAGCCACACATATTTACATATAATCCCTCTGCAAAAATGTGTCTGTATATTGTGAACAAACCGTTTAATGAAGGATGTTTGTTGGAGTAGGACAAGGGTGAATTTTGTCTGACTTATGAATCATCCATGACACGCATGTTCCGCGAGGGCCGGACAGAAACCGTGCGCTCATGCACCTGTGAGTCCACGGCGTTTGTAAGAGCAATGGAGGACGAGAGCACCACGGTGAGAGCAATATATTTACAGACCCAACCCAGAGGTCAGCATTATTTAAAAAGTTAATAGCACTATTTTAAAAGTTAAAAATATATATATTTTGGTAACTAAAAACTTGTTTTTGCATAATGCTGCATCCACATTAAAAGATTTCAGCATTTTTCAAGAGCACTTTTTAAAAATCCAGTGCAATATCAGCACTTAAAGGGTTAGTTCACCCAAAAATTTAAATTAGGCTGTGTTTTACTCACCCCCGAGGCATCCTAGGTGTAGTTAACAGGAGCAAAGGAAGCAAAGTTTCCTTACTTTAGCAAAGGAAAACCAGTCTCCTCTTGGCTTATATCGAAATCCTCCGACATTCTTCTTTACAAATCCTCGTTTTGTACCTCTAATTCTTGACCGTTGTTTTGCTTTGATCTCTCCGCTGCGTTTCCATGTGCGTCACTTCTGAGCGGCGCATGTGCAAAGCTGACCTCATACG